AATGGGTTTTAGGAGAAAAAAAATTTTTTTTTCCAAAAAAAAGGGGGCTATATTCCCCCCAAAGTGTGGAGGTTTTTTGGGCCCCCCCCCCCCCCCCCCGGGTTTTAAAACGTTTTTTTTCGGCCCCCTGGGCAAAACTTGGGGGTTTCCCTTAATTCGGGGGGCCCCTTCCTTCCCCCCCCCCCCCCCCCCCTTGTGTGAACAGTGCTCCGTCCTCTTGAGGACGCGTGGTCAATGATCTAACCGCTAAGGCATGCAAAACATAAAGAGTACTCTCCCCCCCCGCCCCCTCAACAACAACACCTCACCACAGGGCACCCCGGCGAAGACGGCACGAAGAGCATTACTGCAAGAGACGAAGCAGAAGAGGACTAGCGAGAGCAAGCCCCGACAGGGTATCTTCGAGACGTTGCGCCAGGTGAACCAGAAAGACTGTATCATACATGGATTTGCAGTGTTTTTTCTGCCTGTTTGGTTCGTTGGGTTTCGCTGGGCTCTTCAAGTCAGAAGAACACGTCTGCTGTGTGATTCACACGAACACATGCTTTACTTTCATCTTGCGTCAGGCCTTAGATTAGATGACACTGCTAATACTACAACTGTGATGAGCCCACTCCGGAGGCGCGCCTTGAAGGTCGATTTGTTTCGATTATTCGGCGAGTACGTAACGGGGGTGTGGTGGTGCTGGGGCAGAGTGTTTTCTAAGCTTTTTTTTTTCTCGTATTGCACCGCACTTATTCACTACCGCTCCCAAGTTTTACCTACTCCTGTGCGGTGTCTTGTTACTGTAAAGCACCGAACTTGCTATTACTTTCGAGGGAGTGAAATGGGCCGCGGGGGGGGGGGGCGCGGGGACCAATGATACTTTTATAGGGTTTTCTGCCACTCGACGATGATTCACCTGGCGTTGCACTGCTGTTGCACTGTCCTCGTCCAAGGGAAAGAAGGGTCTACCTATGTGTTAGGTGAACCACGCCGAAATGATACCTTGCTCTTTTTTGTATCTTCTCTCTCACCCCTCGCTATGAAACCCTGACCTCTGCCTCGCAGAGGAGCTCGGGCAACATGGCCGAGTCGACGTCCTCGGGCCGCCTGGGACACAGCAGCAGCGGTGGCAGCGGTGGCAGCGGTGGCACCGGCAGCGGCAGCGGCAGCCTTAAGCGGGGACAGTCTCCTACCGTCCCCGCTGCGAGCACGCGGCAGGGGGCGCCGTCGACCAGAGCTCCGGGCGGGAGGCGCGACAAGAGCACGGCGGCGGGGGGCGGGCGGCGGCAGGAAGAGCAACAACGACAACAAGAAGCAGTAGTAGTCGTGCCGTCCCAAGGTCGGAGCGAAGAAGGGGCGAACGCAGCAGGGGGCGGGGGAGGGGGAGGGACGGACGGGCTGCTTGACGGGGTGGATGGCGTCGAGGAGGTGGAGGACGACGCTTCGGACAGCGATGACGACGAGGAACCGGACTTCTGGAGCAAGTACGGGGTGATCGACCAAGACGCCCTGGACGAGGACGCCGAGATTGAGATCTAAGCTTAGCAATCCTTCGTTCGCGGGTTTCCAGTGGAAGGAGGGGGGATGGTGTGTGGGGAGGTGGCGTGATACGATCCATGCTTTTAGGCTCTGTTGGTGGGGCAAGGGGGAGGTAGTTGGTTGGTGTGGCGGCTCTCTACAACGGTAATTCTGTGCGCCTGTGAGCGAGAGGGGCCGTGGGGGCTCTCGGCATGTGTCTTGGGCGGGGAACGTGCCTGCAAGGTACCGGTGGATGCCCGTTGGGTCGTACTACTTTGGTGTGTAACTGCTGCAGCCCTCGAGACCCTTCTCCGGACCGGTGCAGCGACAAGTAATCGTGAGTGATGTTGAGGCCGATTGTAGAACAAGATAGTATTGTTTATCCAGCCAATAAAGATGCTGCTGTGTAGTTTCGATTCGTTTCTTGGCGAGTAGGCGGTCAAGCTAGCTGTGGTCGTTTTTTTCTGTAAGTTTCGATGTACGGCTGCTATATGTGCGGCTTTATTGGAAAAATTGTCGGCACGCGAGGCATTCTCACCTGACGATTCATTGTACCATGGTGTATTACGTACGCAGATGGACATATGCACTCATGTTTCTACCACAAAGCCCGGTGGTTCCACTACCACCTCCATCGGATTGTGCTTCCGTGGTTTTTGTAAATGTTTTACAAGAAAAATTTCTGGGCGGGGCGACCGTTTTCCGATCTCGAATGATGCGGCTGTGTTGTCGATTTTTACGTATTATAGTACCAAAGCAAACTTCCTCCCGTTGCGATCCCCCGCCCCATAGAGCCCTGGTTGTCAAGAAGAGGCGTATTTGCTTGCTGTTTGTGCGTGGTTTGTACCGGGAGCTGTATTGGTTGCTGTGTTTGTGCATCGTTGTACGAAACGGTCGGAACGGGTGTGTGTCTGTCGTGGTTGCACCTCAAGAGTCTCTCTCGCGTTTCCTGCTTGTTGTTACGTATGCACGGCTTGATCTCTGCTCGTTGTCTTTTTCTAGCAGATGGACGCCGTTTCTTCCCTCCTGCTCGCCGCCGTACGCTAGCCGGTGTCTTTCGCGGTGGTCCTTTGTTTATTTTTCATATTTATGTCGGGCAGTGTAGGGGGGGTGTTTGCGTTGGGACCAACGACAAACAACGCTGCTATAAATCGCGACGCGCGGATCATGCATGCTGTTTTTTTAGACTGACCGGAATTCTGCGACAGGCAACGGGTGAGATTTTTAGGGGGCGGCGGCGGGGCACAGGCAAGCTTGTACCGGAAGTGAGTTTGTCGCACCGTCATGAATGCGGAGTGACCCCCCGTATTCCCTCGACATGGTGGGGTGAAGAGGTCTGGTGGAGGCAGCGAAGAAAAGCACCCAGTTTTGGTCGGGGGCGACTTGGTGACGGGAAGAAGAGTGGCGTGATGGATATAGGGGGCGGGGGCAACAGGGCGACAATGTTTTTTGTGTTTCTACAGCATAGCTTGTTTATGTCTTGTGTTGGTTGGTTGGTACTAAGAATAATGTGCATGGTGCTGTAGATTTTATTACACATGGGAACACGTGGTGGCTCTTTTTTTTTGGATGGGGGGGGGTGGGGGGGCTAGGGCAATCGTTACGTTCGTACACTACTAGCGTTTCTAGTTTGGATGCCTTGGTGGTCTCCTTCACCGCCAATGGGGCAACACACGTACGCACTGATGCGAAAAAGGGAAGGGGTGGGTAAGGGCAAGGGGCGACGGGCTGCGTCGCCCGCTTACACTCCTCCTCGTCGCGTGACGTCTTTGGGGGGGCAATTAACGTCACGCGCGGTGCGTTTTCTTCTTGTTTTTTACATCAACTACACGCGCTACAGGGATTATTAATTATATGTGAAGCGTTTTTTGAGAGGACCCCGTCTGCAGGTTGCTGCAGTGGAGACTTATTTGTGCTTGTTGTTCTCGGTCATGCAGAATGGAAGGAGGCGTTTTCGGTCATGCGGAATGGAGGAGGCGTTTTCGAAGCAGCGAAGGCTGGCTGCTCTCCTGCTGCTCCCGGGCCCTGCGTCAACGATCAGTTTTTTTTTGTTTGTTTTTTTGTCATGACCGCTGATAGGTGCCACACAGCAAGCACGACGGTTTCGTGTGCCTTCGCCTAACTAAGTCGTTGTGTTGTTTGTCCCAGCGACAACACAAGAACAACAGAGAGATGATTCGATCTACTCCCATGTGGTATATATAAAATCATGCATGCACACATGTGTTTGTAGCTATAGCTCCCAAAGCGTCATGGGTAATGTTTGTTCTTCTACAAGAAGAAGAGTACACTTTTCTCCTGTAAACGTCCAATTATTGTCACGGGACGTGCCCGCTCGGTGGGCTCGCACACTCGGGCTTATAAATCCCTTGCGTCTATCTAAGCGTAGCCACGGAATGACTACGCCCGCTGATTGCTGCCACGCAGCCCGAAAACCCAAAAAAACTTGGGAGAAGAAAACGAGGAACAACATACATGTAGACACTATGCATTCATACATCCACACATCACCCGTAAATGTCCTGATTTTTTTCGGGGGGTATTATTACAGAGACCACGGAGCGCTTTGTGTATGTATGTCCACTACTTTGACGCACCCGGATATGGGTTGGTTGGCCAAAAAAGAAGTGGACGAGGCACCGCACGCGGTGTGTTCGGTTCTTCCTACCATGCATGGTTGGGTGTTGTGCCCGAAAACCACCGCCGCCGCTATCAATATTATTTTTTAGTTGAAAGTGTAAAAACATCATTAAAATATGTTTGAATTTCAGGAAACAGGAACTGCTGCAGGTTCGAGCAGCTGTTTCCTCGTGCAGTTACTTGGGGTCCGCACGCAGTCAGTCCAGAAGCGAACGTTCATGTGGCCATCATGGCCACCGTTGAACACAGGTTGCGAGACCGCAGGAGGAGGTGAAGGGCCATCATGCAGGGTCCACCATCAGACAGACCGTTGATGATGAGATACTGTGCCTGTACCTTACACACAATACAAGTACGACTTCCTAAAATGCAGGAGGGCCTAGGATCTTTTGCTACCCAGTTTATTTCGATGTAGACTAGATACTATAAGACGAGTCGAAACTATACATTCATAATACAGCAGCAGCAGCAGTAGTAGTATTCTAGTCTACAAAGCAACACAGAAGAAGCCCCTCCAATCTAGATAATTGGAGCGCTCGGTTTACGTTTGTCCGCCAGGACACAGCTACGCTAGCAGACCCACACGCAATCCACAAAACCGCAGCAAGTCTTCCTATCAAGAGAGTAAGACACTGACTGCTGACTGCTGGATCGTCCTCCCTCTGCTGCACAAGGCTCTCTGCGTCAAGCGAGGGTGGTGGGGGGGGGGGTACGCAGAATATTAGGTGCAAAAACGCCACCCAGTCATATTTCGTGTTCATCCACACTACGTCCCCGGGTTCAACCGCACGTTTGTATGCATACCATCCAACCTCCCCTGTGGATCTACAGGGGTCAGGCAGAACCCCTGGCCATGCGTTCCGCCCATCACACACGCATTCTTCACCGACTGCTGTTGTTGTCGCGTGGGCGTGTATCTACAAGCGGTGCCGGGAGGGACAAACGCGCGTTGACTCCTGACTCATATTTCCTGCGCAGCAACAACAGGCGAGGCGGCGGAGCTTCTAGGTGATACGTTAAACAGTAGTGCTGGATCCGCCAACAAGACGCTTGTTGCGCACAGCCCCTTTTGCTAGAGGGGAGAAACGAGGAAGCCTCTGCTGCAGAGCCAAGGAGAGGCAGAGAACAAACTTAGCAGAGGGAAAGGGTGGTCTCCCGCTGGATATTTCCGGGGCTACCACAGGCAGCGCTTTCCTCCCCGCTGATCACTCATTGGCGTCATAACAGTGAGAAGAAGTGACTACGGGAAAAAGAAGAGACAAAACTGCAAAACACAACCAACACGGGAGGATTACCGGCAAGGCAAAGGTAGGTAAGAGCGATAGCGAAGAAGAACCACGTCTGCACACCATTATTGGCTCTTCTGCCGTTTTTACACGTATTGTAGCAGTTGCTTGTTTTGGTAGACACGCACGCCACCAGATGTGGCTCAACTGTTGCCCGGAATCTTGGCGGGGAGATAAAAAGTCGCGACAAATCAAACCTGGGGTGAAGCAGCAACAGCAGCAGCAGCAGCAGCAGCAGGACCACAGCAGTAGGGATATGGTGGCCCCCACTGCCAATGCCATTACCCCAATGAGTGCACGGCGGTCAGCTCGGGCGCTATGGCCAGCAGTGCCGCCTGACACACAAAGGTAAGCCAACAAGACCCGCAGAAGCGGATCCAGCGGCAGCAGCAGCAGCAGCAGTAGCGGCCGGCATGCTCCCCCGGAGCTTATTCCCAGGGATGACAGAGCGCCTGCGTGTGTGCTGCCCAAAACTTCGGGACCGCACGCGCGAAATCCCGCGTTACAGCAGCAGTAATAATGCTGTGCAGCACACAGCGACAAGCATTTGCTCGGAAGAGAGCTCACGCGCGATGCCCCTATTTGACCTTGCGGTCTCAGCCTTGGGCAAACCCGCCATGTATGTGCTGGAGGACCTGGGTGTGCGTGCGATATGGTTCATTGTGCGGCCGTGGGCGTTGTCTATCAGCCGCCGTTTGTTTTTTGCTGTCTTAGGGCGTTGCTGCTATATATATATCGACCAGCGGCGGTTTGTTTGCTGTCCGATAACCCTGTGGGTCGGGGGTTGCTGCTATTGACCGTGTGCGTACGTATGTACCACGGGGCTAAAAGGCGGTGTAGTGCTTTGTTCTCCGCGAGAGGGAGGGATAGTAGGAAGTTTCCCTGCACGACCACAACTTCATGTACCGGCGGGGCTTGCAAATGGCTGCTGTGCCTTTGTTCTCTCAGAGAGATAAAAAAGAAATACCATGTAGACTTTCAAGTTTCCCCTCGGTATGTACCAAACTTGATGCCGTTCTTTCAATGATGGGGCATCCTCCCTTCTTCCCCTGGCTATTGTTGGTGACGTGTAGCTCTTATCTCTCTCTTTGCTACCTTTCCGCTCTACAGTCTTGAAGCAGGGTCCCTCGCATGGGATGACTAATTTACAGCAGCATTTAGTACGCCGTCTAAATAGTCGTGCGCACTCTTGCTGTAGTCTAGTACTGCTGGCGTCTTGGGTGTTCTCCGTGGAAGAGGAAATACTGTAGTTTCGTGTTGGTCAAGCGTTGAGAACATATCTTATATTTTCTGAAGTACTTAGAAGTACATGAGGTACCATGTATGCAAATCCATCGTTATTCATTGATAAGGGTCTACATGTTGTACTATTGAAGGGCGAGTGACACACAGACTCTCTACATGTACGCAAAGCATACGGTACGTTAACAACGCCGAGTGCTTGTCTACATGCGTAAAATCTCGAAACGTATGCCTCGGACTCCCATGCCCGTAAGGCGTGACTTTGCTATCTTCAAGGGCGCGATATACGGCAGCAACATGAAGACAATAATTGTGTATCGAGAGCGAGAGACAGAGATAGAGCGCACGCGAGTTCACAACAGCAGTCCTTTGTTGCGTTCCCATCTCCCCCTGTGTCGTTTGACTTGCGCTGCCTGCATCATCGGCTGTTCTATCCGTATGGGCCCCAGCACAAGAGGGCAACCACCTACACGAGCCTCTCACTACACACGTTAGCGTCTCATTTTTCGGGAGAAGCTGGATTTGTCTGTCTCTATACGAAGCAGAGCGCGTGAGAAGTGTTTTTTTTTTTTTTTCGTTCTGATTTCTTATGTAGCGCCGTCGGCAACTCGTTACCGTCAGTTTTCCCGAAGCTCCTTGCTGTTGAGCGGTCCTTGCTTCGGTGGCTTCTTTTTTTTCTTGTTTCCTCATCGCGACATCGAAGATCGATCGATGTCTTCCGGGGCCGAACGAACGAACCCCCGAAGGGGCTGCTTATCCCCACCCCCCACCCCCCCCCTCCGTCCTCTCGAGGACGCGTGGTCAATGGTCTAACCGCTAAGGCATGCAAAACATAAGAGTACGCCCCTCCCCCCACCCCCCCCACGCGCGACCTTTCTTCCGGTTTTCGTTGTTTACGGGGTCGTTTGTAGCTTCTTTTTTTTTTCCTCCCACCCAACGCCTGCACACCTACACCATCACCCTAGCTGGACGATTTCGAGCACAAGGACAGATCAACATCTCACGAAACCCCCCCCCCCCTCACCTCGCCGCCGCCTCCGCCCGCCCGCCCGCCCGCCTACCGGTCGTTGTTCGGTACACATACTCAGTCCGCCGGAGTGCAGAGGAAAAACGAGCGAGCCGCTTGGAGTTCCAGAGGGAGATGGCGTTGGTAGGCGAGGAGCCCTCTTTATGCCCAGTCCATGTCTTCGTCCGAGAATGGCACCGCCGCGCTTGGGGGGGGATCTACGAAGGCAAGAGAACAGGGCATTTTATTCCGTGATGATTTCCGATTGGCATGTAGGACTCTCTATTGCTAGCATGGACCGGCTGACCAATGAAGAGGTGTCCGTGTCAGCGCGGCTGAAACCAGGAAATGCTCCTACAGGCCACATGATCCGGGACCCCCGTGAGGGGGACGCTAAGCTTCTCTCCGGTGTTGATGTTGGTGGTTGATATGTTGGTGCCTGGGTGGGATTGGCGTGATGATGTTGCAGCTGACGTATTGATATTGAGGTTGACACAGTGGTGTTGCGGATGATATGATGCTATTGTGTTTTTAGTGCGCTCTCGAGGGAGGTTAACGAAGGCAAGGCGAGACACCAGGTGCACTCGTTTGTTGTTGCATCAGACTCCGTTCTTCTACTTGGCGATTTGTTCAATCCACGTATTTACCTACCCCGTTTGTCAGCGTCGTTGGGGGTACCGCCGAAGTAACTTCCTTCCCTACCTACCCCCATGTCGTTGCTACATACACCACCGGTGCTACCAGGCTGTCGAGCCGAAGAGAGCTAGCGCTGATAGCACTCGATCTGAGATGTCTTCGAACGGCGAACAGGTGCGTGGATTCCTGTAGTAGGGCTTCGGATATTATTTTCGGAGGATTGTCTCTATGAAGATAGGTACTGCACCAAACGCCGTTCATTTTTTATTGACTCAAATGCTGATCCCAAAAGGATGCTTCTTCTCTGGGAGTCTTTACGGCCTATTACAGCGTGTGGACAGCCCGTATCATGATTTGTTGCTTCCAATGTTGACTCCAAAGCAAGGAGTTTTCTTTGTTTGGGAACCTTGGCGCCTACTTAGCATGGACAGCCCGTAATGATTCCAAAGAAAGGAATGATTCCCCAAGAAAGGAAGCGTTTTCTTTGGGAACGTTGGCGACATATTTTTATGACTATACGATGTGCAGCGCAGCAGTCCCCGCTGTACGACGAAGCAGGGCCCCTTAGCGGCAGACACACCGCCGTTTGTTGGAGTGGATATTTTTTTGGTACAGTATCAGGTTGCGGTAATTTTCGTTGTGGGTATGGATGGGCAAGGGTAGTGCTGTACAACGTCGTACGCTCTTCCTTGGTTGCAGTGGCAGCACCGCCCTGTCCCGCCACCACTACCACCACCTGTCATCACCTTTTTGTTCGCAGCAGCAGGCGGCTTTGTAGTGGTGGCGCAATTCACCCAGTCGTGGTTGATACCCTCCTCAATCAAGTTAACGCATCCCTCCTCCCCTCTCTCACACACATTCCTCGCATTTTCTCCTTTTTTTTTTTGCTTGCTCCCTCTCTGACATCTTCCTCTCGCTCTCTCATTTCAACGCAAAAACAACGAACAACAACAGAGCGCCGGCGTGGCGGCCCCTACACTCCCCACCAAGCGCACCGTACGGCAGCTGTTGGAAACGAGGAACACACTCAACAAGATGGAGATCGGGCAGGGGGTCCTACTCACTGCTGACGTCACGGTAGGCCGCTCAGACGCTAACCCTTGGGATCTTCCATCCTACCATTCGCGTGAATATGTGGTGTATGGATTCCAAGTGGCTACCGGGAAAACTTGCGGGCGAATTAATCCATTGGTGTGCGATCGATTTTTTTGAAGACCGATTGCTCCACGACGACCAGGAGGCTGGTACCAAACCCTACGTTCACGCGCGAGGAAATTTCTCGGAAAAATAATTCCGAAATGACGCTTTTTGGGCATGATAGACCGTCTTACGTTGTTGTGGTGCATTCGAGCTTTGATGGCACACCTGTGTGAGCGCCCTCACTCTCAGCGACAGTGTTTTTTGTCAGCACAAGGTGTAAGTTGTGTCGTGTTTATTTTTTTTTGCCGCAGCGGGGGTGAGGTCTGTCTTCCTGAAATGTTTCTTTTTCTTTTTTTCTTGCTGCTGAGGTGTCTGCTGCTCTGCGGAGTGTGGCTGTGCTCTATTTGGGTATGCGCTTTCAGTTTTTGTTCGCGCGCGTCTGTGGGAGGCATGTTTATCGGGTGGTGGCTCATCATGTCGGCTCTCCCTCCCTCAGCCCCCCCCCCCAACGTTGTTCCATGGACGTGCGCAACGTCGTGAAACGACAGGGAGCCGAGTTGGTGGTGATCAGGGGTTGTTTCGAAGGCAAGGTGACGGCACAGTGCATCGACATCGAGCAGGTATGCGCATGCAGCTTGAAGCGTGTGACCACATGAAGCGTGCCCAAAATGAAAAACGCTGTGTCCCAGGTTGCCGAGAACATGATGAGCTGATGTCCTGTAGTGCTGCAGAGGTTTTATTTTATCCCGGTCTCTTTTAACCGCGGAAGAGAATAGTTCGTTTGTGTTTCATAGTCATTTTATTAGAAAAAGGTCTCCTCGGACGGCCGTCGACCATGCCAGCAGACGCAACGTTAACGATGACCCCCCTCTCACATCACCAGCGTCCTTGTGCTATGTTGATTACCGGCAGGGATTCTCATCGCCCACGACAAGAGCACCATCACAAACAACGACAACAACGACAACAACAGCGAACCCTACCTTCTCTTCTACGTCTACGTAGCGGTAGCCTAGCCTACCTCCTCTCCTCTTGCGCACCGAAACAATGGGCATCGGCACTTAGCAACAACATCACAACAACAGCGACTCCTGCCTGTTCCTATACACCGAGCGCTTTGATAGCACCGATCTGCTGTACCTATAACCTTCTCTCCTCCCGCGCAACAAATGCCTCCGCAGGGGGCGGAGGTGAGGGGGACGATCGAGTGCGAGGCGGCACGGGTCAACGGAAAGTTCGACGGGGTGTTCATGTCTTCCCACTCCCTGCACGTGAGTATCTCGACTTTGTCTTCTTTTTTTTCCTAAGGGGCCGTTTCGGTTGGTGGCCGCGGCTATGAAGGCGGTATTGTTTTGTATTGATAGCACGGTAGATAACGTGTCCGTGCAAGGAAGGACCTCGCGATCTCTTCAATCAATAGCATTGTTTTTCATCTTTGGCAGAGCCATCGAAACTTTTAAGCAGCGTTGCTTGCCCCTCCCCCGCCCGGCCTCACCCCCAACGATATTTGTACCCGCCCCGTCCCCGTGACTCGTTCTTCCTCACAGAGGCTCGCACCCACGCAAATTGTTGCGAACCGAAAGCATCGTCGTTATTGTAGCTACGTCTAGGCGATGTCCCGGCTCTTGCATTTCTGTGCTCGATTTCCACCCCCCAGAGCGCGTACAAGTCTTGAGGACGACTGGCTTAACAAACGAAACGCCCCCCCAACAGTAGAAGCATTGACCACCCGTGTATTTGCTGTACGTACGGTGCCCCCCGATGGCCGTGTGACTCTCTCCCTCCACTGCTGCCACCACCCCCGTGTCTGCTTTTCGCAATCCTCAGCTTGCCTCCCACGCCAACGTGTCGGGACGCATCATCTACCGCCGCTTGAAGGTGGCGAAGGGCGCGCAACTCTACGGCCTTTCGGAGTACCGTTCGCCGGTGCTTGCGAAGTAGTCGCGTGTAGCAGGATGGGCTTGGGGGGGGGGGGGGGGGGCTGGTGAGTAGCGAGGGCGATGCTTATAAAGGTACCTCACCTCTTTCGGATATGTTTTGAGCAATTTTTTTTCCAGCTTTTAATTCTCCTCTTTTTGTTGTTCATTTCTCTCCCACAGCCGGTAGTCCATGGTGTTGTAGTGTGTTGTGTTTTGTGTCTGTGAGTGGTGGGATGGCATTTAGCCTTATCGGTATTTATTCCGTCGATTCGTTCGACGTGTCCTCCGTATCGTTTACTCTTATAGTAATCATTAACGCGACTTGCGGCCGTTTTGTTCGTCGCACTGTAGCGCGCGCGCGCGCTGCGCGTAGCAGCAGCCTCCTGCTTCGCGATGCCAAGGTCAGCTCTGTGTGTATAGAACACAGGCGGCGTTGTATTGGCCCGAGCTATCGAAGACGTGGCTTATTTTCTTTATTTTCGAGGTGTGTATTCAGATGGAGCATAAGGTATGCCCCAAACTGCGATGAACGCTCTTCCTCCGAGAGCGAGGCGGGCGAGTACTGGCCTTATGTACGGTCTTTAAAGTTTCTACTTTTCTCATGTTCGGGCGGGGGGGGGGGGGATTTATCTGTAGCCTGCACTAAAACTTTAATACGTCGTTCTACAATTCTCT